GAGGCTTTCGTGCTTTCCTACAGTTTCTGTTTCAACGCAAAGGTCCAAATAACAGTCCTCCATAGTAATACATCTTGCCTATTCGTAAACGAAGAAACTAACCATCAAACAACCGAGTGAATTGATCGTGTGGAACCGATTGCTATTCGTGTGTAGATAGAGTGGTGTAATATGATCATATGTGCATGATCAACTAGTTCCTCTGACAGATTAAATGATCTCGATTGACTTACAAGTAACGGATGAAGCACTTGATCCTCAGCCGTTGTCCCATTAGTTCTTGTTTATAGGGTAGATAATAACTCTGAAGAGTTCGTTTGGTAGGCCCCTAGAGCCCACTTCTGCACAGATCCAATTCACATAGTTCCTTCAGTGCTTTAAAACAGTCTGGAGGGTTATGCGCGTGTGTAATTAGTGCATGTTTTCATCGATCGCTTGGGTTATTTTCACGATGAGTTTTCGGTTTGTCAATAAGTTTCTTTCAACCAACGCATGATTCTTCCGTCGCTTTGTTTTTATCCTCAGTATTTTTCGGAAGATTAGGCGCGCATCCAGGGTATCCGTTTTACAGTTACAATGAAAGACAGCTGTGTTATGCATAATGAAACAAACGAAATTAAAGGCCTCAAGAACTTGTAGCGATGAAAAAAACAGAAAATAGTGAAAGTTGTATGATTTTGGATTAGGAAACGATGAAGAATGCCTTTCATTGCACATCCGCTTTTTTTCTCATCCTACTGGTTGCATCTTTTTGAATGAACCTGATTGGCTGTCAAAAGGCAACCATCAGTTACGGTGTACAAAAATTCAGGATTGAGTATTGTGCAAACCCTACCATGTGTTACTGTCTCCGTAGTTGTCACTGGTTCGGAACACTTCTCGATTATCCCGTCACCAGTTGCGCATTCCTTATTTGGACTGTCACTCACTAGTAATACTCCTAGAACCGCTGGGTATTGTTTTATGTTTGACCGTTTAGGTGAAATCACTAGCGGATTGATCTTTCTCACGTTGTTTACTCGATTGAGACCACCCGAAAAGTTGGCGTACACTTACCTCTTGAGTGCAAATCCTTCAAACCTCTATGTGCCGAGGAGAATGTTTTAGGTTGTAACTCTTCACCTTAAGCTTGCAGCCCAACAAACATTCCTACGTTATCGATAACCCTCAATATGCTCTGCTTAAAATATTCCACCGACTACCTTCACATGATAGAGATTTGTTGCTATTCGATGAAGAGATAAAAATCCCACATCCGTGGCTAAAACCTGGGCCTTCAGTTAGTGACAGTTCATGCTAGATATTTGACTAAAACCTTTAGCCCAACTCAATCAATAAGAGAAACAAACACCGCATCCGTGCGCTTCACGCTGTTTTGGTATCAAACGGGGGATTGAAGACCTTGGATACTGGCTCCGTCCAAAGACTGCATGTTCCGAGTAAATGAACTCCGGTCCCCGATAGATTACGAACTGAGTTCCGACCCCATGCTTCGCAGGTTTAACTTCCTAGTCAACGGTTACTCAAAGTTATCCTCTTTCTTCGACGAGAACAAACAGGGGAATAGCATGACTTCACAACCTTTGAATATTCCACATGCTGTGACACTGGATGTATGTGTTTAATCCTAGTCCAATCATCAGTCGATCGCATTTTCCCCATGTGATATTTGTTCCGTTGTTGTCAATGTTACGGTTTGTGTCCTTCCTTGCCTCGTTTCATTTCTCCTGCCCAGAATTCCTCTACGGTCTCCTCCCGGACTTTGTGCTTCCCTACTTGATCTATCTGCTTTCTCACGATCCTGAATGGACCGACCCTAATGATATAAACCGGCTAACTCGGATTAAAAGGTATGTGGAAGTATCCGTCTTTATTTTATCTTTGACGTGGTCGATCGGATACCTCTCCCCAAACCGAGGGTCAGGTTTCCATCAAAGTTCATCTTCATGAGTCTCGCATTTTAGGATTTGGCGTCGAGGTGATAGTGTTTTAGAGAATAATTCCAAAAATTGATCACGCATACCAATTATGCATTCTTATTAGAAATTCAAAAGTGAAAACCATAAGAAGATGAATAGATTTTGGTAGAATTGATCCCATCGATACGGAGTATCGTGATGACTAATATGCCTTTTCTTCACAAGATTCCCAAGAACAAAAGCAAGCTCGGCTAACGTTTTCAATTTAACTGTTTTCACACACGCTCGTGTTCATTACCCTTGGAGTAGCAATGTACCCTCCCTTGCTTTGGAAAGTGATAAGTCCATGAAATAGATCATTTGAAGGATGATTTACGGCAAACCACGCATTCTGCTATTGAGACAATAGTAAAACGACATTCTAAGCCTTCAAAATATTTTTTATCAAAGGAAACAAATAGAGAGAAGATAAAGGCTGCCAGATATTAGCATTTCTTTTAATCCCCTCAATTGGTACTACGTAAAACAATCTGGTATTTATGCGACAAAGTTTGGATAACTAAATTGGTTTACCGGACAGTAGTTAGAGAAGGGGAGAATCGGAATCAGTCCCACGATAATTTGATTAACTGCGTCAGAATAAAAATACAAACATGAATTACCTAACTTGCTTAATATGTCTTCGCTGAAGGCTGAGCCTGTTACGTAACAATGGCTTTAATGACAAAAGTGGCTCAACGATGTGCCCAATTCTCTTAAGCTGTTTTGCGATTGATGACCTAGGATTTTTCTTATCAAATTAACCTCTTATATTATGCTATGCCATTGACTGTAATAACCATTTGGGAATGTGTTCGAACATCCATTGTGACAGAGGCCGATTCGTTTTGCCGATGTAAATTTCACCACGACTGTAGTGAACTGACGGGTGACCTGTGAAGCAGAATTTGGCCGTTGGTTCTATTTTCGGTTGTGTAGACGAGTTCCCTGGGTGTATGGTATCGATCAAAGTTGTGTAGCAGGTACTGTCCGATATAATGCCACCTTGAACTTCTGATTCACGCCGTTCACTAGATGATCACCCTTGAAAGCCAGTCTGAGGAAGACGCGTTTCTTCGGTACTAAGCAAAAGGGATCAGCCGGTGGACTTCATCTGCTATGCACATACATTATTTATCTGCATAATCATTATCCAGCAGTGCCCTTCGCAGAAAGGCCTTTTCTTGAAGCTTATCAGGGGAGCGAATAACCCTTCCACGATAGGTCAGAGTTTTCACCAGACCTCTGCTGAATGGGTCAGGAGCAAAACTAGCAAATTGTAATTAATATCCACTCCATGTGGTCCTCCAGTAGGGAGATGATTGTAAGATTCGATTTTGTCGCCCCCTGATTTTCATATTTAAAAATACAATCAGTTATCCTTCTCCCCAAGGGAGACAGAGAGAGAGTATTAGACAGTGTAAAAATAGTGTTAAATGATCAGGATCGGTAAAAATTCAAAGAAGGGTCGACAGAACAGGTTTCCAGACAGCCTCCGAAATATCCTACAATCGTCTTTCGACCAGTCCTAAAAACATGTCCGCTAACGCTGGATCCAGGGGACTTTCCATTTTTACACCGTCAAGTTTTCTTTTTTTTAATTCAAAACGTACGCTGTCAATGCAAACAACGATGAATAAATAACCAATGGGAGTAGGCAAGTGAATATTCATTGCAGAAATATAATCGCATAAAATCTCTACTGTTTTTTGTTTTGATTGGTTTCAGATTTTTGTACTGAACTGCAGAAATGTAACCGTGCAATAACAGAATCTGAACCTTTTGAATGATATTTCTTCTGTAAGAATATTGTTATCGAGCGTGTTGTCCACTTTAAATTTGCCCAAAAATACAAATAACCAATCAAAAGACAGATTTCCTCATCTAAGAAGTGAAGCGCCCTACAATTGTTTCAACTTCGGTTATGATTATTATTATTCTCTAAACAGTGCACTGTGGTTCGTGATGGAGCCTATCGTTAATCGAGGACAGAATTTTACTTTTTTGAGAAAAATTATCGAAAAGATAAAACACACTCGGGATGCTTTGGCTCCAGAAGATTCCATTGCTAATCTGGTGAGTTTTCTACACATTTCTATGGGATTTTCTTCTTATCAATGTATAATGTAACTCTATTTCTGATGTTCCTTGTCATAAACTATTGATGCTTGCAATAAGGATCTCCAGGTTATCTCCTTTGTTCGGCCAGGGCGATCTGGAAGTTATATATATATATATATATATATATATATATATATATATATATATATATATATATA